TAATTTATAATTTATACATTTATAATAATATACACTTATACATTTATAAATATATTTATATTATGTATTATATAGAATATAATACATTTATATATTTTTATATGAATATATAAATATATTTATTTATAAATGTATTATAAATGCATAAATGTATATTTATATAAAAATTATAATTTATACATTTATACATTTATATAATATTCATTTATAATTTATAATTTATAATAATATACATTTATACATTTGTAAATATAAATGTATTATAAATGCATAAATGTATATTTATATAAAAATATAAAAATTATAATATTCTAAAAATACTCAAAAATATGTTTCAAAAATACCTCTAAAAATAATCCAAAAAAATCTACAGTAAAAGTTTTTCATATAGTTTTTGAAAAACAACCCCAAAAACAACTAATCCAAACGGACTTGTTTTTCAGATTCGAAATGCTACAATGGTGTTTTTGAAAAACAACCCCAAAAACAGCTAATCTTGTTCCATTTTGTTTTGGGTTAGATGGGTTCCTTGTTTTCGACCTGTGAATTTTATTCAAAAAGCACAGAATGGCTGCATTGTAGGTTAACCCATTGGGCAAATTATATTTTACCTTTTGTGATTTTCGCAAAAATCACATAACTTCCCCATGATTTTAAAAGCTATACATAAATCTCCTGTGATTTGGGTTGAAGTGTCAAACAGACAGAAAGCACATATCGTAACGATTCGTGAGCAAAATGTCCAAATTACCCTAATATAAATACAAAAAAGGAAGCAGATGAAATCAGATTTTCTCTTGCTCTAGTTTTTGTCGTGAGAAAGAGAGAGAAAAAGACCACCGACGAATGAAGGAAAGAAAATTTTAACCCACAAAATTAAAACCCTAAATCTACCATTAAAGATAAAAAAGTAGCTGTGAAAAAGTATTACGAAAGCTATTGCTGTGTCTGGTATGTTTTTTGACATCAGTTTAGCACGTAAGATGCACTTGAGCATTTTGAAAAGAAAGTATCGAGCGTTGGAAATTTGATAAATCAGTGATCATAATGCTTAAGCATTGATTAATTTAAAATTTTGCTGTTTTGGGACAACCTGTATTATCATATTTAAGCATAGAGTATTTTATTGACTAGAATTGAACTTATGCATTAAGATTAGGGTAAAAAAAATTGCATTCGGGAGTTCTAAAATCACTGGAATTTCAGCTAAATATGGATAAAATATGGTTTTGTTAGTTTGAAAAATGTTGATTAATGTCAGATTTGGGTCAGATTTGGGTGGCTTGATTGTCTATAATATAGAGTGATTTGGTTGCTAATAAAGTTTTGGCGATTTGGACATTGACTAATTTTTGCTTGTCGGTTTGTTGGCCATCATGTGGTCCATTAAAGTATGTGACATGCTATATGTCCTTTTCTTAATCAGATTATATTTTTTTTCCTGTCATGTGTTTTCATTGAAGTGTGTAATATATTATATGTCCTTTTCTTAATCAGATTGTGTTTTTTTTTCTTATCATGTGTTTTACTATTTCTAATGCAGGCTTTCAAAAAAATGACAACTTTAAAAAGAATTACTATAAAATTGCATTTTGGTGGTATATTCATATGGGAACCAGAAACTGTCTATACTGGTAACAATGTTGCCATATTTAAAAATTGTGAGACAAGGACATTATCTAGGGATATGTTGTGTAAATTGTATGGTAGGTATGGTAATGCCTCAAATGTGAACCTATATTTTGAAATACCAAATTGTGGGTTGTATGTTGGAGCAGTTGAAATCAAAGGAAATAAAGAAATAGAGTTAATGTTAACTGCGCATGAAGGCATAGATGTTATCAACATATATGCTAAATTGCATGATGAAATGCCTAGTCAAGTTGCTTTTGTTGGAGTAAAAAGTCATATTAAAAGTGCCACAACTGATGCCCCATATTTTGTGAGCTGTCATGATGATGAAAGAAACAACCTGGTAAGCAAGAACATGCGAGAGAACAGTGAAGCACAAAATGTGACATCTGATAAAAATACTCCTAAAAAGTTAGCAAACAAAAAGGGGAAACAAATAGTCAAGAAGTCAATGATAAGACCTACCAAAGAAGTTGGAAACAAAAAGCACAGCAAAGCAGTCACAAAATCAACAAAGGAAAAAAGTGCAAAAGCTATAGAGAAACAAGATAAAGTTGGAAAATAGCCTACAGGTGAAGATGATGATGGTGATGCTAGATCTGATAGTTTAGAAGAGCCTGAGTGTTCGAAAGAGCGATTAGAATGACCAGAAGATGAGGATATTTTTGCAAACAGAGCAAAGGCTAATGAAATAGAAAATCAGCAACAGCCAAAAGGCACAACTAAAGAACCAACAACAACAAAGCAGACATATACAATAGAGGATCTGCCACCACCGGGATATGATAAGAACACTTTTGAAAAAGGGGAGAGTTCTAAAATTAATGAAGAGTGGAATGCATTTGCTATTGATGATGAAGAACTGCTTGACATTATGTAGGGAGATGATGAAAGAAATGGGAAAGATAATGGTTATCGAGAATTTAATGCTGCAGTTGAATTCACAAAATCAAATTTTGACTTGCAAGTTGGGGATAAATTCAAGAACTTACGGACCTTTAGAGGAGCACTTATGGAATGGAATGTCAGGGAAGACTACACCATCAAGTGCAAAAAAAAAAATGAAAAAGCAAAAGTTATTGCCATGTACAAAAATGGTTGTTCCTGGAGGATACAGGTAAGTCCAATTAAAAAAAGAAAGCACTTTTCAGATCAAATCAATAAAGGGAGTGTATGTGTGTGGAAGAGAATATAGCAACCATCATGCAAATGCAAGATATTTGAGCAAAAACTATTTAGACAGATTCAGGGATGAACCAAATTCTTCTATTGAAGGATTTGTTAAAACTGTGAGGAGGGATTATGGTTGACATAAGCATTAGACAGACTTATAGAGCTAAAAAGGTTGGCAAGAGAGGCGCTACAAGGGAATGATATGAGATAGTATCATGTCATCAGAGATTATGCTGCTACCTTGTTAATCCGGAATCCTGGCAGCCATATTGTCCTGCAAGTGGCTACACTGGATGACAATGAGGTTGGGACATTTGAAAAAATGTACTGGAGTTTAAGTGCAATGAAGAATGCTGGAAATGCAAGTATGATGTTGCAAATGCTGGAAATGCAAGGAATGATGTTGCAAATGAAACGGATATTGCTAGAAATGCAACAAGTATTGGATCTATCTCACAACAGGGTTCAGTGTCACAGGTACTATTAATGATGTTGGTTATTACTTTGTTAACTGCAATTTACTGACTTAAATCTATCTATTTATGCAGCCTTGTGCAACTTCTGCTGCTGAACCAGTTTTGGCTACTAGAAGATCAACTTCTGCTGTTGAAGCTATTTTGGATACTAGAAGATCAACTAGAGTCAGAAAACTTGTACCAATAGCTGCAAGTGTGTTGGAAAATTTGAGGGCTAAGAGAGCTAAACATGTTTGATTACCATTGGTTAAGGAGCTGAAATTCAACTAAGTTATTTGTCTTCAATTCTTTTTGTTAATAGTTTGTTGCTAGACTTTTTGTTGAATCTTGGTGTCTGCTGGACTTTTTGATTAGATACTTATGTACCTTATTTTGTTTTGTAAAAACTGGTTGATGTATTACTAGATTTTTGTGAACTTCTGGATAGCTATATTGTCAAATGAATCCAAAGTTCAACCTGTGAGCACCAAAGTAGATCCATACCAACTGGAAATCGTGTTTGCCCATTTATATCAATTGACTGTTTGCCCATTTATATCAAAGCCACAATTCATCTGATATATTTTCACTTGAACATCAAAACGAGAAATGATAGCACAGATATAGCAAAACAAGCACCCATGCAAATCTTTATGACTCCTAAGCTTTCTTCAATGTTTTTCATTTTCCTCAAATATAAACCACCATCAATGTGCAAGCCTTCCAAATCTGAACTACCAATACTTGATTCTCCACTAAATATATCTTTGCTTGTAACATTCAAATCACTGGTGTAATTTTGTCTTATTCTCCTTGTTGGATTGCACCATGAGAAAAATTCACAAGTTCTTGTCGCACAAACAAAATATAGCTTTCCTTTTGAAGGTTTGTCGGATTCAACAATTTTTACCACTGCTTTTCTCCCACATGAACAATGCAGGTATTGGTACCTTAGATCTTGAGTACTTCCACCAGCACTGCTTGAGAATGACATCTAGAGTTTATTGAAAAAAAATTAATAATCCATTCAAGTTATGTTTTAGGAGAAAGGAAAAGACTGCACCTTGATGTTATAACTTACCTTGAGATTTCCTTCTTTCTAAATCTGGGTTTGATTTCTTCAATATATGTATTGCCTTCACCAAGATTCAATAGAAAGTTAGCTACAAAGTACTTTCGGTTCATGGAAAGAGATAAGGAGCATAGATCTGAGCTTTATTAGATGTGTTAAAGTGGTTAGGGGTAATATAAAAATATTTCTTACTGCTACCAATAGTACAAGTGCGTTTAAGCCACGAATCGTCACACGATGAATGCTTTCTGTCTGTTTGACACTTCAACCCAAAATACAGGAAATTTATATATAGTTTTTAGAATCATAGGAGGGTCATGTGATTTTTGCAAAAATCACTGGAGGATAAAATATAATTTACCCTAACCCATTTGAAGGGAATTATACCACTACTTATAAATACCAAAAGTGGGATTCTAAGCTTCTATCTGCAACCTTCTTATATTCTGTATGGCAATTGATTGTTGTTGCCTCCACGTCGCCAAGGAGCTTAAGCCATAAGTTGGCAATCAGCAGGAATATTAGTCCTTAACCAATAAGCACCTTAAGGATTAAGCATCATAAAATATCAGGTTTTCCAGGCGATGGACAACTGTTCTGGAATGCTTGTTTTGACTTGTCTTTCCATGAATATTCCAAACCGGCGAGCAATGCAGATAAACAAGGAATTAGATAAGCAACAACAAAAGTAAATTGCGTTGCGTTTCCTTCCTTATATTCTTTTCAGTGAGCAAGACATCAATTACCACCCACCTAGAGAAGCAATAAATTAATCTGGTGCCGAAAAAGAAAGCACAGACAACAGAGATTATCTTATAAAAGAATCTCTACAAATCTTAACCTAAATCCATGAAGGATTCACCATCCATCGGACAACCCACCAGTACTCACCAATAGATAATCCTACCAGGTGGTTCAGATATAGCATTTCAGCAATCCTGGGGTATATTGAGCACAAATCATGTCACCTGCACACTGAATGGTGTGCAGCAGGTCACCTGCACACTGAATTGAGCTCAAATCATGTCACCTGCACACTGAATGGTATATTGATAACTGAAGTTACGCGCATCTGGGGCTGGACTTTGGATGTACAACTACTGAAGCATATATTGTGTCGTACATGTGCAGCAGGTGCCCTTACTCCATGTCACACATAGAAGTTTTCTGACAAACAGATGTTTGGGATGGTGTGGCCTCCAATGACTGGTTGAAAGCATTGATGGATGGTAAGGTCCTGATAGGGTCTCAGAGGAACCGGTCATTGTTAGTTTCCGTGAAGATGGGGAATATGCTGCAGTGGTCCCAGTTCACGAGATAGCTGAAGAATGGGCAATAACCAGCATTGCAGAAGGTTGAGATGTTGGCGTGGGCACCAGCAAGTTGGATGAAGATATTTCAGCTCTCAGGGTAGCATGAGCAGTAGTTTGCAGTCCTACCAAGTTGGAAGTCATAGTCTCTGTTGAATTTTGTTCAGGAATTGCAGTATTCCTTGCAGCAGCTTGTTGAACAGCCAACAAGTTGCTTACCAACAGTGTTGATGGGTTCCCAGGTGGGCAAGGCCCCGATATGCTCCTGCAGCTAGGCTCTCTAAAAGCAAGACTGATAGATGCTACTCATGAAAGTTGCTAAAGTCACTGCTATAGACAGAGTACAGCATCAGAAGCTGCTAATTGTTTAAGAGCAGAAATACTTGACCATCATAACTGGTACAGATCATAAAGGCGTCTGCAATATTTGACCAAATACCATTTAGAGAAAATAAGATATTCCCAAGAAGAACACAGGAATAAATACAAGTTGCTAGGATGTAATTTCATATTTCACTAAATCTAATAGTGGAAAGATCAAATAAAACACAAGTGTGTGAGTTCTTTTCCAATAAAGAGCACAAGGAACTCTTAAACAGCTTTTCTGCTTGGTTCCTTACTTCCTTTCAAAATACCCAAGATTAGTCACCTTAATTTAGTTAGCAATTCTATCTGCTTTCCTCGTGGTTATCCTCTTTTTCTCCAGTTGAACAGTATGGATATGGGCTGTAGCATAGCATATACTTACACTGGATCCTGAAGTCGCAATGTAAACTCACCAATATGCTACAGGGAAAAAAAAAACTACTAAAATGCAAATGCCAGTACCTTGGCTAATCAACCAGATTTCAAAATCAAAGTACTTAGAACTGTCCTTTTAATTGTAAGAACAAGGCCTTCCCTTGCAGAAAGACCGACCAACAAAGACAGACAGGCTACACTCAACATTAAATAAATGCAGAATGATGCAAACATGCTCAAAAAATAAGGAAGATTCAACTAGCTTGGTAGCGCTCTGGTGAATTTTCTTATCATTCTTACTGAATGCAGAAACACTCAGAAACGAAGTTGCTGAATGATTGGGCTGCTTAATTCATCTCCAAATTCAGGAAAAAAGCATACCAGTGCCATGTGTAGAAACGAAAGGGAAAATCAATGAAGGTATAAATGTTACTTAAAAAAGTTACACAATAGATCTGGACAGACATTCAAATACCCAGACTGTAGCTTTATTCTCACTAATAAGCTATTTTGTAGATCCTGCCACATCTAAATATTGGTAAACTGTTCTTATGCAGCAATCTGAAGGGCGGAAATAGTCATGGAGGAATTTTAAAAGCATCTGGATCAACTACCTTGGCCTGATCCTAATTGATCTAGATACTTGTAGACCAAAAATTCTTGACAAATAAGAAGAGCGGCATAGCCACTTAGAGAGCACTTTTATAGAGGAAGCACATTGAGTGAGCATTTGCTGACTATTGCTTTGCACATAGAAAGTGGTTGAATTGGGGTACAGGAGCACAACCAACAAAGATAACTAAACTCCAGCATCATTATTATGTTTTAGCAGCACAACTACCACAACCATGTACAAACAAATTTTACACCAAGTAATTTTGCCAGTCTATATATCAAAGGTGCTTAAAGGAAAAAAAGAAAGCTACCCAAGTGTGGCAGCCCACACCATTTTACTGGCTGATACAGAAGCTTCTAGACCCTGCATCAGTCAAAATTGAGTAGTTCATTGCTTTGATCCAATCACTACATCAGTCTCTACAGTGATGATGTGTCTGTAAACTAACCCATAAAGGAAATGACTATGGTACTTGGACAGAAATTTCCATATATCTACATGTAAATAAGCGGATTCACGTCCCTCTAAAGTCGACGAAAGTTAGGCAAGACAGTCAGCACATGTTTGTGCTAGTTGCATGGGAACTCTTTCAGGGAGATAATATTCAAATCCTCTTCAAAGAATATCAGTAGGAATCAGAAAACATCTTCCATCAATAGTCCGGCTATGATATGCCACAATAATGTCATTAGCTTGATATAAATATGTGCAAAGCAGGATTCTAATCTGCTTTCAAAAACCAATAGCAATCATCACTCCAGTAATCATATCTACCTTTTTGTATTCTCAATCAAAGTACTCCCACAAATGAACCTCACTTCATTGAGTAATGATTCTTGGGGTTGCAAGCCGGCTGCCTTCATATCACATATGATTCTAAAGGCTTCAATGCCAAACCCTTGTTGTATATAACCAGTAAGCATTGCATTCCAGCAAGCAACATTTCTATTGTTTCCACAAATCTTGAAAACTTTCTGCGCGTCCTTTATTAACCCGCCTTTACCGTACATGTTAACCAACCCACACTGTACATGCTCATTAAGCTCCAGTCCTAACTTGACAACATTTGCATGTATTTGTTGACCACAACATCTGCCATCCCTCATACTCGCACATGCTTTGAGAACACTTGAAAAAGTATAACTATTCTTCTTTACACCCTCCCTCCCCATTTGTTTGAACACATCAAATGCCTCATCAAACTGCTCCTCGTAGCAATGATTAACAATCTTAGTTGTCCATATCACCTTATTCCGATATGGAACCTGATCAAAAACCTGGTCAGAACCTTCTAGACACCCTGCTTTCCCATAAAAGCTCATTAAACAGCCACTGAAAACCAGATTCTCGCCATAACCCATCTTCACAACCCAAGCGTGTACCTGTTTGCCAAGTTCCACATTCACTGTTTTAGCACAAGCCTTAAGAACACACACAACTATAGCAGAAGCCACTATGTCATCCATATCACCATCAACTTTAGCTCGCTCCGAACACCGCATTTCCAAAAACAGATCAATAACCTCCCCATAATCACCATTTTCGAAATACCCAGCAACCATTACAGCCCAAGTACAAGAACTTCTCACAGTCATTTTATCAAACAGTTCCCGTGCATATCCAATCAAGTTACACGAAACATACATCAACAGCAGGCGATTAAATATCGACAACGAAGGGCGTAGACAACTCGTCTTAATATGGTTATGGAGTTCAATTGCTAGTAAGGGGTCACCACTTTTTGTACATTCATCGATAAATGAAGTATAAAGGTCGAGAGAAACGGGGATTTTAAGACAGTCCAACAAGCCTAAAACGTCTGACACTGTAGAACGATTGCTGGGTTTACAATCATTGGAATTTTTGTGGGTTTTCTGGATGGGTTTGTGTTGGGGTCGTCGAAGAGGAAGATGAATTTGAATTGAGGAATTGGATGGAGAAGAAGTCGGCACTGTGACAATTTTTTTAAAGGTTGGTTTGTTGGGTGGAAAGCGAATTCTTTTGGGAGGTGTCAGAATTCTTTGTTGAGGCGTTGGAGTTAGATGGGGTATCTTGACTTCCATTCTTTACTAACAGGCCAGGTTTGATAACTGAAATATAGGCAGGCCGAGGAGGCAGTCATGTCCTGTGCCTGCTACATCCTAGAACAGCTTCAGTTTTTGCCCGGACATAACTAACTAAGGCGTGCAATAGGAATGAGGACCTCTATAATGAAGTGCTGGGTTAAATGCTGAAAATTTTAGTAGTTGTTTCATGGTCTGTGGAAGAGTTTCATGTGAATATATTACAGAGTGAGAACTTCTGCCATTTCCAAAAAAAAAAAAAAAAATATTACAGAGTGAGATTAAAAGAATTTTATGTCGGTGTAATATGACTAATGGAAGAGTTTCAGGTGAATATACACTGAGATTGATAGTTTCTCAATATAGAAAAGAGTATCTTTCAGAGGTTGATATTTGAAAATGCAGCAATAATTTTGAAGAATTCATAACAATTTTGAGATGCAATTACAAATTATGTGGTGAAAGTCGGGATTGATGCAGGTATACAAAATATGTCATACAAAAGTGATTGGAATTGAAACCAAGATCAGGAAATAGGATTGTGTGAAAGATGTTCAAATGCTGTTAATTTTAGTTGAATCAAGCGAGTAACTCTATATCGTTTGAACGGTTAAGTCATTAATGAATGGTTCTTACTATGTAGCAGGATATTATTGGATGTTATCGTTATATCCTATCAAATTTCAAATTTCAAAGTTTTGCATGAACAGTCATGAGATACTATCAAGCAACTTGGACTAAGCATAGAAACCTTATTTTAGGAATTTAGATTCAAAATTTTCTTTGAAATTTTAAGAGTTTAATATCTTATTGAATAGTGATTTTGTTGTGGCACCTCTAGCCTCTAGGTGTGTGCAAAGTTTCAACTCAAGAGATCCTTAACTTTGACCATAGATAGTACAGAGCCCGTTCAATTTATGGTACCAAAATACCTTTTTTATTCAAATGTAGATACTAATAATATGCACGTATGGTGCATGTGTTTATCTTGAATCTAAATACTGGATTCTTTAACTTTTTGTCATGTTTGCCTTAAAAAATAAAATTGAAGAAGAAAGATCCCTTTTATCATCTTCAAAATCGAAAAGCCTTTTTATCTTATAGCCTTTTTTTGTATTACCTCTTTTTTTTTTTTTTGTATGGCATGTCTGTTAAGTAGTAAAAGCTATTTAGGAAATCTTAATCATAAACTGTCCAACCTTATCTATCCAACATTTGCATGTGTAAAAAGAAAATAGGGAAAATCACCAATTTAGTCCTCAAACTATTTTACTAAAGCCGATTTGGTCCCTAAAAGTTTTATCGCACCAATTAAGTCCCTTAACTAAAATTCTTGTGCCAATTGAGGACTTATACGGCGTCGCCACCCAAAACTCATGTATCTGTACAGAAAACAACGGCCAGGCAGGGGCCTTTTTGGAAGTTCGCATCCTAATTTCTACGGGAAGCAAGACAGAGCCCATTTTGCATTCGAATTGGGAGAAACCTGTGAAATTAGGGGTTTTCCAAGACAGAAACCCATTTTGCATGCAAATAGCGGAAGAAATTGGGGGTTTGAAACCGATTCAAAATTCCAGCAATGGAGGGAGATAAGATGACGAAAACAGAGCGGAATTTCCAAATTGGTTCGCGAGCAACAGAGCAGAGCAAGGAAAAGCTGGAGGATGAATATTCCGACGGGATGGCAGCGAGAATTTCCGATAAGTCTTGGCCTGCATGTGCGATGTTTGAAGTTAATTTTTTTACTAATGAGTTGAAGCTCGAATCAGATAGATGTTGTTGGTTGTTGAAATACAGTTGGTAGATTTACCCTTTTCTAATTTAAATGATAGGATGTTGGTAGATATAAGATGTGGCGAATGTGTAGTGGATCTGTTGTTATTTTAGTTTCGGTGGTCCCTTTGCTGTGAAAAATGCACTATGTTGTTGTTGTCATGCTACCTAATTGGGTTACAGGATTGTGACCGAGCATGTGGATGCCTAATTAAAATTTTTTTTGTCTTTTATGCCCAAAAAAATCACAGGACATGAGTTGGACTGCTTTACACTAAAACTATATTACGGTGGGGTATATTTTGGACCACCACAAGAAAAGTATGTGGGGGGGGTGAGTATGGAATCATTTGAAGGTGTTATTGCAAATACAGTTAACATGTCACATCTCCATGGCTTTTGCACTCTTGTAGGATATGAAGAAAATGTGAAACTGCTTTATAGAGTCCCTGGTGGAGATTGTAGCGTCAAACTTCAGAATATAGAAAGTGAGGATGATGTTATAGACATGGCCTGTATTGGGAAACAAATTGGCATGGTTGAGGTGTACTTGGTGCAGGAATTCCATATTATAAATATGGGTAAAATACAAGGAACCTCCTTGTGGTTTCGCGAAAAGGCACCTTTCCCCCTATCGTTTAGAAACCTCCACATAACCATCCTAAACTTCATAACTAAAGTGGAAATTGACCTGTAACCAGGTGTGCGACCTAGTGACGATGGGTATACGAGATTCTTTTCAAAGAGATCTTGAAAATTATCAGAAAGAGATGGTAGGGGTAAGGTTCTAATACTTTCACTTCCACACCCAAGAGATGGCAGTAATAGTAGTATGCCAGATTCTGGTACTTTCACTTCCACCACCCCTCCAGGAAAACAGAGCAAGCAAATACCCACCAAGACTTCAAAACGATAAAAGGGCAGCAAAGTCAAAAAGATCCCAATCCCTCCTCCCTCCCCCACCCCCTCTTTCTCTTTCCAAGAATAAGAACAGAGAGTGAGGACTCAGGAAAAAGTATGGAATCAATGGGGGTGATGGGAAGGAGATTGGCGTTGGTTGCATCAGATTTCGTTATATCCTTCATGTGCGTTTGGTCAAGTGTGCTGATCAAGATCTTTGTGCACAATATCATGACCTTTGGAAGGGATGACGTCCAAGGTGAGATCTTGAAGCATGCTCTTGCTGTCATCAACATGTTTTTCTTTGCCTTCCTGGTCAAAGCCACCAAATGTGAGACCTACAATCCACTCACCATCTTCTCTTCTGCTATCTCTGGCAATTTCACCCAGTTTCTCTTCATTCTTTGTGCCAGGATTCCTGCTCAGATGAAAATATGTTTACTGTGGAAAGGAATTGGTTCTCTTTTTCTCTTCTCTTTGTTTTTTTTTTAAATTTTGTTTTAATCTACAGAGCAATTGTACCTCAACATAAACAAGTAGAACTAATGTAAATGTTAAACAATTGAAGAGATAATCACAAAAACAAGCTGGCCCCTTTTCCAATTTTTTTGGGGGTTAATATATACATCTCTATATTTTACTTCTGAATGCAGAACACAAAAAGAAGAGATAGTATGTTGAATGGTTGATAACAACAATAATAAAAAAAAAGTGCAAAATTTTCTTGAAAGTACCAAGATTTCAGAGCAAGTGCGGGGTAAATTCAATTGCATGAGCAACGAATGGAGAGATTGAGTAAGGACGAAGATGATAGCCAATTGCAATTGAAGACGCGGCAATGTACTAGAAAGAATGTTTCCTTGGTTCCAGACACCCCCATTTGTATGAATATTTATGGCGCTTGGGTCGACAAAGTAGGTGTCGTTAACCGCCATGATCACGACTTCTATCTGGGTTTTCAGGGAAGCTTCTGACATTCACGTCCGAAAATACTACCAACACCTGTACGTCTGCTACGAATGGGTCACCACCGATTTCTACAACCCGAAAAATCCGGAGCACGTCGAGATAATCCATGGGATTGCTGTACAAAAAGCAACAGACTGCAGCGTTGCCTTTTCTTCCCTTCTTTCTTCACGAAGCCTCTCTGTATGTATGTGTCTGCGAGAGATGGTAAGGAGGAGAGAGAGAGAGAGAGAGAGAGAGAATGTGTGGAAGTGAAAGTATTAGAATTTGCAGTCAGGGGTATTTGGGGTATTCGACCTGTCGGTAATTCAGCCGGTTCAGAAGGTAATTTTCACTTTAGTTATGAAGTTTAGGGTGTTTATGTGGAGGTTTCTAAACGATGGGGGGGTACGGTGTCTTTTTGCGAAACCACAAGGGAGTTTTTTGTATTTTACCCTATAAGTATTGATAGTAAAGTAGGCAGCCCTAATGTAGATATTGGAGAGCCTGGTATATCAAACGAAGATGCTTTTTATGTTGACATCACGTTTGAGGGTCTTACCACATTTGAAGAAACCACGGTGCCAATTGAATTAATGGAGGAAGAAAATGGCGTCGGGGTTGAAGAAGATGCACAATCACAGTCTACTGAAAATGAAAGCTTGATCGATAGTGAATATGACTTTAGGGATGATGAAGATGATGTGATTTTCAAGAATTCTGTTGTTGATGCTGATAAAGAGCTTGGAAAAGCAAAAATTGAGATTCCAACAGAAACAGTTGTTGATGAGAGCAAGAATGAAGGCAAAAAAAATTCCCAAAAAAAACTTGTTATTGGAGGAGCATTTAGGCAGCAAAATAGGAATGATACAACTGATGACTTCAACTTGTATGATGGAGAAACTATTCAAGTGCATGAAAAATCAGAGTCAATGAATTCTGAAGAGTTAAATAGCAATAATGAAGTCTCGGATGAAAATAGTTGTAAGAGGAGAAAGCCAAGATACGTGAGGTTTAGACCTAAACTTGATATGGCCGATCCAAAATTCTTTGTTGGGCTGTTGTTTGATGATAAACGGATATTTAAACGAGCTGTTGACTATTTTGGAGTGAAATGTGGTAAACATTTTAGGTGGGGTAAAAATGACATGTCTAGAATGCGGGCTAAATGCAATACTGCAAATTGTAGCTGGTTTATTTATGCTTCAAAAGAGGTTGATAGTGACGCTTTTGTTATTAGAACCATGGGACCATCTTGCAATTGTGGTAGGACTTTTCATCACAAACGTGCCAATTTAGGTTTCCTAAGTAGACACTCTATGGATTTTCTTAGATTAAATAAGAGGGTGAGTGTCACAGGATTTAAGGAGAATGTGCACTTAGAACTAAATGTGAATATCACAAGAGACCAAGTGAGTAAGACGTTCATGAAGGCAAAACTTTTGATCTATGACTGTTACAAACAGCAATACTCAAACCTGTGGGACTCTGCGAAGAGTTGTTAAATTGTAATCCTGGCTCAACGGTACATATGGAGAC